AACATGAGTTAGAATCAGCCTGATGGCAACTGATTTATTTGTTTTTGTTCAATATATGCTTAGAGGAGATTCCCAAGGTGGAGCCAACAAGTAAACACTCGACTACTAGCCGAAAGGTTGTGGTTTGAACCCACCCAGAGGCGTCTGGGAAGACAGATCTGGCGATCAGCTTCTGAAAAATCATAGCCTTGAAAGCCCTATGGAGCAGTTCTACTCTGCACACATGGGGTCGCCAGGAGTCAGAATCCGTTCGACAGCAGCTCACAACAACCTTATGTTTAGAAAGGCAGAGAAACCAGTATTCTTTATTTTCTCTAATAAAAACCTGGTTGCCTTTCAAATTTGTAGCGGGACTCAGCCCCCGCCCAGGTCCACCACCCCCAGAGGCGCAGAGGCAGCCTCGGCCAAAGCCCCGTCCCCGAGCAAAGCCGAGCCAGCGTTCCGGAAAAAGATGGACAGAGCATTTCCACTTTTCTCTAGTCTGCACTTCTCTTCAGCCTTCTCTTGTGATTTTCCAAACCACATAGCTTCTTGGGAGGCACGCTGAAGCGTTTTAAGAATGAGACGATAAAACAAATGGCTTGTTCTAAGAAAACAGCTGTTGGTGACTCGGCCACGTGGCTGCAGCTGACTGGACACAGTCACATGGCCGACAGCAGGGCCAGGGGCTGCCCGCAGCCTGCATGTACCCCACAGACTCAGATACTCTGCAGAGGTTTTCTGTTTCCATGTGAGGGCCGGGAGCCACTTTACAGCTCGCGGTGGGATGAGGTGTGGACAATCCTCACCAAGGCTCACAGGCCTTCTAGGACCTGGCCGCCCCTGCCCCCCCTTAATCTCTGACTTCACCCCTCTATTTTCTGGGATAAGCTAGATTTGCAGTGGTGACGAACCCTGAAATCTCCAAGGCGTAATGAGCACAGACCCCGTGGCACTCACCCTGAGCCCGGGGAGAGTCAGTCATCTCCCCAGGGAGAGGCAACTGTACATGGTGACTCAGCCACCCAGACTGACTCCACTGGGGCCTCGCCCAACTCAACCTGTGGCTTCCAACGGCCATCAGGGCACGGAGAAGGGTGTCACGCACAGCTCTCTTTTTTAGCGTTTAAACCCAGGAAACTTAAATACTGCCTCTCCCCCGCAACTTCCCATTTTCCTCTCCCTCCAGCCCTAGGCAGCCACTAATCCACCGTCTCTATGCATTTGTCTCTTCCAGCTATTTCACGTGCGTGGGATCATACCGTATCTGTACCTGGCTTCGTTCGCTCAGCACCATGTTCTCACGGGTCATCTGTGTGGTAGTGTGTCAGAACTTCATCTCTCTGCATGGCTAATCATGTTCCATTGTGTGGAGGGACCACGTTTTGTGTATCCTCTCATGGGCTGATGGACACTCGTGCTGTTTCCCCCTTTTGGCAATTGCTGTGAATGCTGCAGTGAACTCCGGCGACAAGCATTTGTTTGCGTCCCTGTTTCCAAGACTTGAGGGTAGACAGCCAGGAGTGGAATTGCCGGGTCGTGTCGTGGGTAACTTTCTGAGGCACCGCCACGCTGTTTCCCAACAGTGGTGTCTGCTGTTTGCCATCTGCTGCCTTCTCTGGTCTTCAAGTGCCCCCCACACGAAGCTCCAACCTTCTCTTCACACGCCCACACTTCCTGCTGCTCCCCTCCTATCTGCACATCCTCCTGCCCACCGTCAGGGACCACGCAGGACCTCCTCCGCGGAGCCTCTGGGACTTTCCATTCATTTCCTGTCCTCTGAACACCTGTCATCTAGACCCTGGACCACAGGGGACAGCCAAGTGTGGAAAGAAAGGATGGGCTTTGGGGTCTCACCTGCCTGGGATCAAACCTGAGGTCAGACCCAGCTCCAGCAAGCTGTGTGAATTTGGCAAGTTACTTAACCTCTCTGTTTCTTCTCGGAGAGCTGCATTAAGTAACACTGCGGACCTAACATGACGCTGGTGAATGCTGAACGTCTCTGTCCGTCCCTGGGGTGTGGGTGTCTTGAAGCTTCGGTCCTGACATCATTGTAACGCACTGTTTGCTGGCTCTTTTGTGTGTGCAACGTGTGGGTCCTCAACAAGACTGTGGTTTACTCAAGGGTAAGGGCTGTATCCCCCTTGACCTGAATCCTGACCCTCCCCCCAACCCCGTCCCCCACACCCACCGCACACCCCGGCCCCAAGCACTGAGCACAGAGCAGGTGGTCGGGAGAGCATCCCCCGGTGGGCCAGGTCTCCGCTCATGGTTCCGGCACTGCAGTCCTCTCTGGTCGATGAATGGTCCAGCCTCCACTCTCACTCCTGAGTTGGCTCAGGCTCCCAGGTGTCGCCAACAGGCGGAGGTGAGGCCAGAATGAGAGCTTAAGCCTGCGGCCCGGCGCGTGGCCCCGATACCACCTTGCCCTCAAACCAGCCAGGCCGCAGCTCACAGCACTGCCGCTTAGCACCCCGGAGCTGTGCGGTGCCTCGCTGGGTCTTTGCTGAGCACAGCCTTTCCCCTCTCATCCCACAGCCCGTGGGGGTGGCGACCCTGGGAACCAGGCCTGCCACAGGCATGGACACAAAAACAAATCGAGGGGGCCACGCTGGACAGAGGTTCCCAGAGGCCGGGCACAGGGCTGGGCCAGGACAGCCGCCCACTGAACTGACAGCAGGACAAGGAGGCGAGCTTCTCCCAAGGCCAAAGTCAGGTGAGAGGACAGCTCTTTCTGAGATTACATCCACCCTCCTTTCTGTGTTATAACGCCCTTTCCTGGTGAAATGCTGGTGGGCGTTCATGGGAGGGCTGGTGTGTGTCCGTGTGTGTTGCTATGTGCCTGTGGTAGCGTGTCTGAATGTGTCTGTACGTGCATGTCTGTGTGTGTGTGTATGCATCCTGCGTGCGCCTTTGTTAGCATGCGTCTCTGTCTCAGTATGTGTGAAGGCGTCAATGTGTCCGTGCCTGTTAGTGTGCATGCGTGTCTGAATGTGTCTGTGTGTGTGTGCGTATGTGTGGATGTGTGAATGTGTGCGCCTGTGTCAGTGCAAATGAACGTCTGTGTGTGCCTGTATCTGTGTGTGTATGTGTGCAATCCCATGTCAGTGTTCGTGGTTTCTTGGAAAATGCTCTCTAGTCCAGGAAATGGTCTGAGGATGCTGGCCTGGGGCATCTTCAGCTTCACTGGGAGGAGTCACAGGACCTCTCCCCGCCCCCACGCCCTGGCTGGGTCTGCCTTCCTCAGAGGGAGGGAGGGAGGTGTGTCTGACCTCACTGGACCACCACGTGCCAGGACCCCTCCGAGTGTTCTATGTGTGCCGGGCTCTGATCACACACACATGCGACAGTGTCTCCCCTGGGGAGCTTCCGTCTAGAACAGGCAGACACCCAGACAAGGCAGCTCATCGTGTCCTGGCCCACACAGTCTGGACACGGTACCGAGAGACACAAACAGGGACCGGTGGGGGCTAGGCCCGAAGTCCTGGAAGAGCTTCCCGGGACTCTTTCCCAGTGGGCAGCAGGGACAGCAGTGGAAAGGCCTAGGGCCGGGTGGGCGCCGGGCGGAAGCGGGCAGTGTGGGGCGGGTTTACCTGCCCACTCCCCTGCCCGGCAATGCTTTCCAAGCTCAAATCCTTCTACAAATAGCTCTGCGCCTCCAGGAAAGAGAGATTACCACAGCTGGCTCCTGGGAGCCTGAGACTCGACTTTCAGGGTCAAGGGAGAAGGGATTCATTCATCCACCACTCCTCCGAAGGGCGCTTACCCACCCGGGGCCCGGCCCCCTCTGGAGCTGCAAGTAGAAGGCAGCGGTACTTCTCTGGGCTCAGTTCCCTCAGCTGTACATCAAGGGGCCTGAACTAGACCACAGCTAAGCTTTTCTTCCAGTTTTAAAGGTCTGTAATTTAATTCTGGAGCCCTGGTGGTACAGTGGTTAAGAGCTTGGCTGCTAACCAAAAAGTTGGCAGTTCGAATCCACCAGCAGCTCCTTGGAAACCCTATGGAGCAGTTCTACTCTGTCCTATAGGGTCACTATGAGTTGAAATTTTATTCCACAATTGTAAAGATAAACCCATGTATGGGGAAAACACATGCGCGCGCGCACGCGCACACTCAAACACGCACACTCTGAGGACAGATGATTCCAGATTAAGCAGTCTCGTAAGATTCTGGATTGTGGAGCACAACCCCTTTGAGGGAAGGTTTCAGTAGGCATGAGGGCTGGGGAACTTCCTCTCAGGCTCCAGGCTGAGCTGCAGGGAGCAAAGGAGTTATCATCACCCAGCTCCAGCAGTGATGGACGATGCGTGTCTCAACACGGCCACCAGGTGGTGCCGAGGCAGGCACCACCTCCAGCAGAACTGGGAAGAAGGGCTCCCCCTCTGGGGCTGAGGTTTGTTTAATTCTCTTCCTGCAGCACGGGGGCTGTCAGATGAGGGGTGTGGATGGCCTTGCAGGTGGGAAGGAGCAGGGCTTGGCAGTCACACAAGGTTTAAATCTCAACTCTGACTGCAGCTGGGAGGGCCTGCCCTCTCTGTAGCTGGGCTGAATCTTTGCTGGCACTCTACATGCGGGAAAGGGAGACCCTGGTGGTGCAAATGGTTAGCGGGCTCAGCTGCTAACCGGAAGGCTGATGGTTCAAGTCCACCCAGTGGCACCTTGGAAGAAAGGCCTGGAGATCTACTTCCAAAAAATCAGCCTCTGAAAACCCCATGCAGCACACTTCTACTCTGACACACACGGGGCACCATGAGTCGGCGCCGGCTTCACAGCACCTGCTGGGGGTGGTGGCTACCTGGGAAAGGAGCCAGGCTTCCGGCCCCACGTGTTCTGAGAGCCGGCCTGGAGGAAGCAGGCAGGAGCCGTTCCCTCCTTTGCCTCTGACTCTGACGCTGGGTCCTGGTAACCGGATCTCAAACCCAAAGCTTGACACCTCCGTCTATTCATTCACGGGGGCTGCAGAACGCTGTCACTCCCGTTCTGCTGTCACAGAATGTGCACAGTGAGAAAAGACAAACACCTTTTTCTTTAAACAGTTCACATTTATTACGGATAACAATAAAAAAATCTTTTAAAGACTATCAGTATCGTATTACCAAGAGTGAGGTAATAAGTTTATAAAACATTTACAGAGTTCGATATGCAAATAATGAGCTTAGGGAGGAAAGAGAATGCAGACATTAGTAACAGAGTGGGGGAAACCAAAAGACTTGTTAGTGCCCGGAGAAGGGACAGCAGCGAGTCAGAGTGGCAGGTACGGCAAGGACAGACAGTGCGAACTGGAGAACCACTCAGGTGGCCCCAGCCCCTTCACAGAGAGCATGAGGGGTTTCACTCAGCAGGAAACCCTGTCAGCGTCTGTGCCGGGATGTGCTTTCAGCTCTGAAAGGCTCATTACACTCTTTGGGGATAAAACAGCGCCACTTTTCAATCAACTTAAAAAAACCAGATCTCCAGACTGGGGCTGGGGGAAGTGGCAGCAATTCAGAGCTCTACCAACATCTCTGGGCAGATGTGGACTGTCAGGCGAAGCGTTTTCTTTGCAGCTGTCAGCAAAATCGCCATCTGAGACACACACAGAGAGAGAGAGAGAGAGAGAGAGAGAGAGAAGGGACCATCTTCAGGCCCTTGTAGTCTGGAAACAGGAAGCCATCTGGACACAGCACAGATGCATTCAGTCACCCTGCCATGCCTTCTGGAACAGGCGTCAGGCGCCGACATGAGCTCGACCTCGAAACGCAGAGCTCCAGCCCAGGAGGCAGTGGTTAGAGAGGCAGGAGGCAGGCCTCTACAGAGCGCAGTCGACGCTGAGGGGCTGGGGCTCCGGGGCCGCCTGCCCCACGTCTGCCCTGGCCTTCTGACACCGCCCCGTGGGGCACACACACTCCATCACAGGCCACCCGGCCACCGAATCAGAGTGGTCCTAAGACAGCCAGCCTGGGGGCACCTGCCTATCATGGAGGGGGCCGTGCTGGTTTGGCTCATCTTTAAAAGCACCACCTCTGCCACACACCGCGCATCTCTGCCGTACAGACCAGCCCTGTGTCGCTGCGGGAGCCGACTGTTCCGTAACAAGCTGCGGTATGGGCCTAACGAGACCGCCGCCTTTGGAATCGGGAACAAAAGGAAACACAAAGGGCAAACTCATCCCACAGTCTGATTTGCTTCCATGAAGAATCCTTTGTTCCTCGAACAGAATTTCTATAACCCCCTGCCCCCTACCGGCACCCCGTGGCCGCACGCGCGCACACGCCCCAGTCCGCGTACAAAGCAGCAGAACTCCTACAAGGCTCACACTGCCTTGACTGGTAGCCGTGAGAAAGCTGGCTGGCTACAAGGAACACGGACCTGGCTTTCTGACTGCTCTTCTAGAAGGACCACCTGGGCTGTGGTGACATGAAGCTCCCGGAGACACCGGGAGATGAACACAGGTGAGTTCAGAACAGGCATCCCGAGGGCAGGAAGAGCAGCACACCAGGAGCAGAGAGGGCAAGAATCCCCCACGCTCGTTCACGGGCAGAGAAACCCTGCTCTGAAAAGCGTCATAAACATTTGGAGAGACAGCAGCGGCTAAGGATGGTGGCGTTTTCCTTGGAGTCCTGGGGTGCCCCTAAGGTCCCCCGGGCCCACCAGCGCCGCTTCAGGACGGCGGGTGGGTCGGCCGGAGGAGGGTGGCGCCCCCAGCGGCTGCTTCTGAGTCCTGCGGAGTTACAGCGTCTGCTCAGAGGGACAGGGCCCTGAGGGCTGTCGCTCAATCGACACACATCTTGACAACAGCGGGGCGAGGGCTGGAGGCGGTTCATGGGACACGGGTGCAGCTTTCTGCTCCCCACAAGGAGCTGGCCTCGTCTCTGAGGATGTTACAAAAACCCGTTCACTAATGTACAATCAAACCGTTGGGTGGAGTTTCCTGGAAAATTTTTTTTGCATCAACGTGAGACAGAAGTCAGTCTCTTAAGTGGAACATGAACTACTGTTCTCCCAGGCGAGCCCTTGTGCTCTGCTCTGATTCTGCACACGGAGTGAACAAAATCTATGGCTATCGAGTTAGCGTCAGGGGAGAGTAAAACTACCTGTGGAGATAGCTCCGGGACCACAACGACTAGTTTACCATCTGGAGACTAGTTTTGCTATCTAGAGGGTGAGCGGCGTCTGCGGTCACCCGGGCAGGTGGAGCCGGCGTCCCGCGGAGCGCCATCCCCTTGCTGCACTACCTGGAAACCGTGGAGCTGGAGTGGGACTGGATGGAGGAGGTGGTGGCAGCGCTCAGCTGTGAGAACCCGCTGTGGCTGGACTCCAGGCTGGTCATGGAGCCCCTGGAACAACATGGGGAGCCGAGAGTCAGCGCGGCCACCACAGTTTCCAAACAGCCCACCTTCCGCCCTGCTGCCAAACCCAGCCCTCCACGGCCTTCCGCCCCGCCGCCAAACCCGGCCCTGCCACTAAACTGGGCCCCTCCACACCCTTCTAAGACAATTCGCACCATCTGGCTACGCGCCACTTGGCTTCCCTCAGCGCTGGCACAGTAAGGAAGGGTCTGAGTGCTGCCTGAGGTCATGCATCCCCTGCCTTTCAAACAGATCCCATCGTGAACTGAGCTGGGCAAAGCCCACCTATCTCTCCCACCACACAGGCCAGTGAGGGTCCTCTCTGCCTGTCCTCAGACCCAGCCATGCTCCCCTCAGACCCACTGCAGCCGTGCTCCCGCCCAGCGCAAGGGACCCTCAGACCCACTGCAGCCATGCTCCCGCCCAGCATGGGGGCCCCCCCGCACACCCGCTCGTGCAGTGTCTGCCCTGGCATAGGGGGCCCCCCTATGCACCCACTTGGCAGCCCCTACCCCGGCATGGGGGGAGCCTTGTGCACCTGCTGTGAAGTCTCTGCCCGGCCTGGCGGCCCCCGTGCCCCCGCTTGTGTGGCTCCCGCCCCGGCCTGGCAGCCCCCCTGCCCGTGCAGCCTCCACTGTGGCGAGGGAGCCCTACCTGAAGTCCTCAGAGCCGAGCACTTCTGTGTAGTACATCACTTTGCACTTGTGCGAGGGCACCTGCAGGGAGGCCAGCACGTCGTCCACCCGCGGCAGGTTGGTGGCGGCACAAGCGGGCATACTGTGGAATCTCCACTGCAGGATGTAGAAGCCCGGCCACCGCGTTACGTGAGAGCCCTGGGGACAAGGCAGCACCGCTGAGCAGGACTGGTCTCCCCAAGCCCCACCCTTTGGGGCAAGCCCTCTGCAGGAGGCCACAAGGGGAGGCTCGCTGCCACCCTCAGACACCCACCGCCTCGAGACCGCGAGAGGCCTGTCAGCAGGCACCGGGCCGTGGTGAGAAAGGCCTGGACAGAGAGCTCCGCCCAGTCTCAGGGTCAGCACGGGTGACCTGGCCGGTGACCAGGACCTGGCCTCCTGGGCAGAAAGCGCGTCAGTCTAATGTGGAACGCCAAGCTGGAGATGACTTGTGCCACTAACTCTGGGAGCAGGGACTGTGGAACAGCATCCTCCGTTCTTAGCTCTGCTTCTTGGACCAGTGGCAGACAGGCTGATCCCTGAGCTGTGACAGAAGCACCCCCGGCCTCTCCTACAATGGCCAGGAGCTCCTGGAGAGCGGCCATTACAGGAGCACCTGCCCGCGGCCGTCAAGTCAGTCTGACTCACAGCGACCCTCCAAGACAGGGCAGAGCTGCCCTAAAGGGTTTCCAAGGCTGGAACCTTTACGGCAGCAGACTGCCACATCTTTCTCCCACAGAAGGGATGGTGGGTTCAAACCGCCGACCTTTGGTTAGCAGCTGAGCACTTTAATCATTGCTCCACCAGGGCTCCTTATGAGGAGCAAAGGCACTCGAAAATAACTGGCCTGAATTGTCAGAACAAACTGACAGCGCATTTCTGAGCACACGAGAACGCTGACCAATGACAGCGACTAGCCCCTAAGCACTCGCTTCTCTCCCTTCTGCTGAGGGCGCTCGTCCCTGGAAGGAGGCGAACGTGACGTGGTCCCACTATCTTGGTGGGAGCCTGCTGAGGCCCAGCTCTGTGTACGCTCAGAATACACCTGCCTTCCTGTCATGTGTCCCCTTATGGAAACACTTCCGGGGGAGCTCACGCGCGCCAACAGAGGTCACGGGTTCTGTCTGAAGCCGTGGCCTGAGCTTGCCTTCTCTGTCTTCTGAGACTCGTCTGGCTTCCCGAGTGACCGTGACAGTCAAGACGCACAACTGCACCGGGCACACCTGACTGCTCTTCCCAGACAGACGGCGCCTGGGAGCCACGGGACAGGGGGACTCGGGACGGGAAGCCGGGCCGCAGGGGTGCCCGGGGCGGGGGCTTCACCTGCACGCTCTCTCCTTCTTTACAGATGAGCGGCGATTCCACCATGCTGTAGTCGCGGCCCGGCTGCCAGACCTTGTCTATCAGCTGCACGTTGTTCCCTCCGGGGGAGGTGAGGCCGTGGGTGCCCAGGGAGTCCTTCTTGGGGGGCTGCGGCGACCTCTTGGAGTGATAGATGTTGAAGACTATGTCCCCTTTGCACACGTCAAAGTCCCAGGTGATCACTGAAGAGGCGTCCACAATCTGGATGAGAATCTGGAGAAAGAGATCCCGTCAGCCGACTGAGACTCATGGCGCAGGGCCCAGCGTGGGACTTTCAAGCAGCCTTCCCATCCCTCTGGGGAGGTGGGCGGGGGTGGGGGGAAGAAACGGGGTGGACGCTGATCAGTGGATCCCTTTACTCAGAGTCACGAGTCTACCAGCCAGGCCCCTCAGCCTTCATTCCTTCACCCCACAGCTCCTGCTACCGCACATCACGTCCGCGCTCCAAGCACTTTGTCACCTAGACCTGCACACACGGTTCCCAACGCCGGGGCCTGGGGCGTGCCACGTGCCTAAGCGTACAGGGCAGCAGCAGCGCAAGCCTGCACAGGGTCGTCCCGTGCGTTGCTTTAGCCTGCCGCGCTCAGGGAGGCCTGGGGAGGTGCGGCCTCACGGCCCCGGGGACAGCGGGAGGACGCGCTCCGAGCTGGGCCAGCGTGAGCACAGGAAGCCAGCCGCCTAGCAAGCCTGCAGCAGGTGCAAACAGAAGCCCGGCTGGTGGAGGCGTGGGCACAGGGGCGGGCTGCGCACAGTGCCCAGGGCCCATCTGAAACCTCAAACGCGTCCTGCCAAGTTACAGTTTCAAAAGATGACTGTGGGAGGGAGGGGCGTGAGAACGAAAACCAGCTGTAACAACGGTGTGAGCGCCGAAAGCTTCCGGCCTGACTGAGCAGCGGCAGCCGCGGGCCGTCGCCCCTTCCTCTCGGCACGACTCTGCCATCTGCTCTTCAGCCTCGCTCTCCTTCCAGCCAGGCCCTTTTCAGAGGCTCCAAGGCTGGCTCATCACACACCGCACTTAGCACACTAAATACCAGGGCGGCACGCCCTTAAGTAGCAGATTCAGTACATTACCCGCCAGGGGCCGGCGGGCACAGCCCACTGTCTCTGCAGCCAAGGGCCCCCGGGAGGGGGTGTGCACAGAGCCTGAGCCCGTGGTGCTGCAGGCATCCCCCTTCTGTGTCCACAACAGGGGCATCTAATCCAGTCTCCATGGTAGGTGTGTGACTGTTCTGATCTGTGCTTCACCTAATCCCCAAAGCAGGACGGAAATTCTTACTGTTCTGCTGTAGAAAACGCACCATTCTCAGACACCCTGTCGCGTACGTGAACGCACTAACCACCAAGGGCCCGGAACACAGACAGCGCTCCAGTTAGCTAATAAAAGGCCACCAAGAGCTCTGGCCCCTCAAGCCTGCCACCCCACACCCCCAGTATAAAGAGGACAGCAGTATTCCACAATAACATAAGACCAACAACACAGCTGCTTTAAAAGGTAAGAAATTACTACAAACGATCCTCAGCAAACTCTGAGGTTTTCCCCGTACAATCTATAACCGAGGCTCACCACATCTGTCTGCCGTGCCAACCACAGCAACGGTATTCCCTTTATCCACCTGCCCCACAACCATCGGGTGGGCTGTGCTAGGGGCCGCGCCAGGGACCGGGCCAGGGGCCGGGCCAGCCCCCACAAGTGGCAGGAGGCAACAGGCGTGAGTGCCTGGCCACCACCCCCGGCCCAGGCCAGCCCCACGTTCTACTGAATACACCATGTTCACAGTGCCACCGTCCTCAACAACCCTGAGCCGCACGCCCTGCGCTAGAGCTAAGGGAAGGTGGCCCAGCTGTGAGTCTCCAGTCCCCCGGTCACCTATGGCGCGCAGGACACAGCGTGTACAGAAACGCTTGCTCCTCCTCGGTCCACCAGCCGCGGACAGAGGGGCGGATTCCTTAAGTATGAACAACCACAACCGAGTCTGGAAAACGCAGCAGGTTCACTGTCAGCGTTAAACCAGCCGCACGCGGGAGCTGAGAATCTGCCGGGAGAGACGCGAGAGTCAGACGTGTCTGCTCAAGGTCGCTGGTGAGATGGTGGTGGGGACCAAAGCCCCTCTCAGGCACTCTGACCAAGCACATCTGTTTTTGATCCCGGGAAATACCTGTTCTTCAAGGTTGACATTTACCGAAACTAAATATCAAGCGTGCAAGAAAAAATTCCAAAACCAGAAAAATCAGCCGATTCTTCTAGATGAAACCTTGTGAGGCAGAGCCACGGAGGCTCACTTCTCTGCTGGGAGAGAAGCTGCCCCAGACGCCCGGGGTGGTGCTCACAGACATGGGCGTACCTCATGCGGAGCGCCTTTGAAGACACTCGCGGACTGGTAGATGGTTTCGGTCCAGAGCTTCAGGTCTTCGTTTTCCAGCTCCTCCGCAGTCCGGTACAGAGACTTGGGGACCAGCCCGCCCTCTGGCACTTCACACTGGAAATGCAAACATGCCCGTGAACGCCGTGCACACACAGACTCACCTCTGAGAACCAGCACGAGGCGGGCATCACTCCCGGTACACTCAGCTCCTCGAAGCTGGTTAGCGAACAGAAACCCTGCAACTCACAAACTAGTCTTCAAAAACCACTTCAGGACATGTGTTCTGCTCTGAATAAATGAGAACAAGTCGAAGCTGATTTACCACAGACTTCACACTGGTATGCATAAGGTCCCAAGCTCAATGACTAAAGCTGGCTTGTGTGAGATCTGAAGTATTTATACTGCCCTGGAAAGGAAAACAGTTACACAAGAAAGAATTTTATTCTCACCAGCTACAGGCATTGTCTTTATTACGTGCAATTATAGTCAGGATATATGATTACCTCAGAAGCTTCGTGTCTCACCTGCGTCAAATGGTGACTCTACCACCAGCCAAGAAGTAACGAAGGGGAATCCCGTTTGAATTTGCTAGGCACAGGCTGAGCTGAATCAGAATAGGTACATATCGTAAATCTCCTAATTGACCTTGATGCGACAATTTAATGCTCAAGGTCATAAAATCTGAGCACATGATCAGCCTTGGGAGGCAACTTAGGAAATAAACAGTCAGCCCTCAGTTCACCACAGAGCAGGACAGAGAACGTCCCAGCGAGGACCTATCATTGGAAAAGCAGCGGCGTGACGAGCGCCGTAAAAGCCTCCGGCTGCAGGAGAGCGGAAGAGAAGCAGCGCCTCATCAAGACCAGAGGTCTTACAAAGCCCAGGTGGCAAGCTCTTTCATGATGAAAGCTCTCAGCATTCCGACCAGGCCAGTGGGGAGGTCGGTGCACACAGGCAGCCTGACCTGCTGCTCCCGGGAGCTCAATTCTTCCCGTCAGAACGACAGGGCAACTTCACCACGTATAACAAAGCCACCTATGGACGTACCAAGTCCTACCTCATAGCTTATCTCAAGGGCACTTGATCAGCGGTGGTCCTGGAACTTACTGGCTCCTTGCCCTTGTATGTGATTACGCCTGCCATTTCCTTAAAGCAGTGCTGACGAGCTGAGAGCTGAACTCATGTTTTTGAAAGTCCTCTAACCATTCAGGAAGATTCGCCTGAAAGCCTAATTCATTAGCTAAATCCATGAGTCCGATTCAGCACAGACGCATCTCAAACGGACAAGTGTACTGACTACTAAGGGCAACTAGAGAGCCTTTCCCTAACAGGAGCCAGACACACGAGGCTTCAAAGCTGCTGCAGCCCACGGAGCCCGGCCCCAGGCCACGGCGGCCGACGTCATCGTCCTCAGGGCACTCGCCGCCTCTGATTCCTTTGTAACAGCACGGAATATAAAAGTGGAGGCGTTGGCCTGTGTCATGGATTGAACTGTGTCCCCCAAAAATATGTGCATCAATTTGGTTAGGCCATGATTCCTGGGATTGTGACTGTCCACCCTTTTGTCATCTGATGTGATTTTCCTATGTGTTATAAATCCTGTCTCTATGATGTTGATGAGATGGGATTAATGGCAGTTATGCTAATGAGGCAGGACTCCATCTACAAGACTGGACTGTGTCTTGAGCCAATCTCTTTTGAGATACAAAAGAGAGATGTGAGCAGAGAGACATGGGGACCTTATACCACCAAGATACAAGAGCCAGGAGAATAGCGCATCCTTTGGACCTGGGGCCCCTCGAAGGTCCTCAACTGGGGAAGATTGATGACAAGGACCTTTCCTCAGAGCTGACAGAGAGAAAGCCTTCCCCTGGAGCTGGCACCCTGAATGTGGACTTGTAGCCTCCTAGACTTCGAGAGGATAAACGTCTGTTTGTTAAAGCCCCCCACATGTGGTACTTCTGTTACAGAAGCACTAGGATAACTAAGACAGCCAGATTAACCAGCAATTCTATGCATTTTTTAAAAAATTTACATAAAAACCCAGTTCATTTTTCCACTTTAAAAAGGATATCCTGATTTACTGTTGAGGAGGAGATCTTTTTGAGAATCAGATCTTTTTAAGTGTATTTGAAACCAATGCACCACTCTTTCTAGAACAGGTGGAAGACCTGACTTTACAGCAAGCTGTGTGAGTCAGGCAGGCTTCAGCTGTATTAGAGTCTCTAACAATGCTCACTTGTAGTCAACAACGAGAATCGGCCATGCCGTAAACCATTACCTAAATGGTTCTGTGGAGCTTGATCCCGGATCAGAGAGACAACAGCCGCCAAAGATGCAGAGCAAACATTCTGAGAATTCTTTGTGCAGAACGGCACCCCCGCCCCTTTGAAGCAGCCAAACGTACGGCTATTTGCCTCGATACCTACCATGCACTCTCCGCTCAGGAAATCTGGAATGATCTCTTTGTCTATGTAGTCCAGCAGGCCGCCAGGACCCTGGTAGTCATTTCCTGCATAAATAAGGAACTTCCTTCTGGTGTTGTCGTCAATGAATGGACTAACCTGGAGTCACAAGAAAGACACTGGTCATGTCTGCTTTGCCTTCTAGGTTTCAGAGACTGATTACACCATGATACACGAGGGGGTGGTGGGGTGAGAAGGGCATTTGAGCTTGAGACACGTGGTCTGTAAAGTGCGTCTGCAGGGCATGAGGACACTCAAAAACAATGTGGGTTTCTCTGTTAAACAAATTCTACATCCTTCCACATTTACTTTGTTTTCTCCTAACTAGTTAAGACTTCTTGTGTCATCAAGTCGATTCTGACTCACAGCGCCCCTACAGGACAGAGCAGAACTTCCCCACAGGGTCTCCAAGGCTGTAATCTTCACAGGAGCACAACACCAGGTCTTTCTCCTGTGTGGCCACTGGGTGGGTTTGAACCGTCACCCTTTGAGTTAGCAGCCGAGCATTTAACCACTGCATCACCAGGGCTCCTTATGGTGACAGATGTATGTACACGAATGTACACACAGTCACTGCAAACCGCGTCTGTATGCACCAGCGTCCAGAGCTCGGGGAACACGTGGGGGATTTGCACGCACCAGCGTCCAGAGCTCGGGGAACACGTGGGGGATTTGCACGCACCAGCGTCCAGAGCACGGGGAACACGCGGGGGATATGCACGCACCAGCGTCCAGAGCACGGGGAACA